CAATAAACTGCATCAACAACTGTACCAGCCGTCACAGAATATTGTTGTTGCAGACAAACACACTGTCAAATCAAGAAATAGGTTGGGGGTTAGGCAGTTCATGAAAGCTAGATGACCTACTATGTGGGGATATAGTAGGTCATCTAGATATGCTGTCTTGTTTAGTTGTTTCATATACGCATAGGCCGTCGGGTTTTAAAGCAATTATAAAATCAATATTTAAAACAAACTTACCTTTGTTAACGTCGGCTCCCTTCTTTTAGCCGATTCTTTCGCCATTTCATTATTGAAATTTACAAAATCTTGCAAAAATGAAATATATTTGCAAGAAATTTATCAATCATCAAATAAAGAAATGTTTGCTATTTCGCTGTCGTCATGCAGTCGTTATAATGCAGACTTTAAATTGGACCAATCACAGTGTTTGCTATTCATGACAGTCCGCCATATTTTTGAGATCAGTGAGGATGACCACCCACGGTTGGTGACCCACACCCGCAATATTTGATGAACTTTATACTTCGCTTATGCTTTCGTTTCCCCGGGTGTACATAGCCGGGGGGAATTAGTAGCCTCGCACGGCGCTTTGCGCTGTCGGCTCGGGGAAAATAAGCAGAAACTCAACGTTTCAAGCGAAGGCCCTTCGTCAAGAGTTATATAGTCTGCTTAACACATTAATGCTTCTCCTACACTTCTCTGTGATTTGGTTCACAAAATCTCCATTTCCTCACCTTGATTATTAATAACTGTCGGCACCCGGTAGAAAGAAAGATCTTCACTTTCAGATTTGTCATTTGAACAGTTTAAAACTACACAAAAAGCCGGCATATTGAGGAATATTTCGAATAGATTTGGCACAGCTATAAGTAAACACTAGTAAATATACTCGCATGTCACGCGTTTTACTCTACCAACATGACGGACACTAAATTCTAGTGACGTCACAGCGGTTCGCGTGAAAAAACATTATTGTCGAAAATCGAACGAAATCTCAGTTAAAAGCGGTATATATATACGAACACGATACTGTATTAAATCAACAAAGTCTACAGCAACAAATATCGAAAGCGAAGCGTACAGAATAAACACGATAGGTTCTCAATCAGCGACACAGGACTCGGAATTACAAGCTTCATCGAACCCAGGTACGTCAAATATTACTGAACAAATGTCTATTAATTCACAAGGGAACAATTCATTAACCGAACAGTCTCCTTCGCCGGTTTATCATAATAATACATCAAATCAAATTACAATTGCCCAAAGTTACCAAAGCTTGTGTTGCCAAAGTTTAAGGGAGATATAACGAATTATCATACTTTTTGGGACACTTTTGAAAGTGCAGTGCATACAAACCCAGAATTATTGAAGATAGACAAATTCAACTATTTAAACTCGTTATTAGAAGGGCGTGCACTTCGTGCAGTGCAAGGTCTGTGTCAGGTGACAATTATCAAGAAGCTATAGAAATTTTACAACAACGTTTCGGCAAATCCCAACAAATCATATCTGCCCACATGGATGAATTAATGAAAATTCCCGCATGTACTGTGGACAAACCTTCGCAGTTGAGATATATTTACGATAAAATTAGTGTACACGTCAGAGGTCTGGCTTCCTTGGGTGTTAATTCGAAGCAATACGGAAGCTTGTTGATTCCCGTTATTATGGCAGAACTACCCCAAGAAGTTAGAGTTCAAATTGCATGTAAAACCACAAAGGAAATTTGGGACATATCTGACATTTTAGATGTCATATTGAAAGAAGTGGAAGCACGAGAGATAGGGGAAATATTAAGATTAATAGTGATAGTCGAAAACCGCCACCCAACAAATTTCCAACAACTGGCGCTGCTTCATTAGTAGCTCAAGAAAGCTGACCCCAATCAAAATTCTGCCGATGTGCATACTGCAATGATTTGCACTTCTCAGCCTCATGCCAAAGGGTAGTAGACATAAACACGTGTAAACAAATTCTCAGGCGAGATAATAGATGTTTCGTATGCTTGGGTAAAAATCACAGAGCTGATCAGTGTGAACCTAGTAAAAGTGGTCGCCGTTGTAGTGGAAAACACCACCAATCAATTTGGCCGGTATTTAAGACCCCTACCAACCCACCCAAGAGCCCACCAACTGAACCGCATGGTCAGGGAACTAAACATCCTGCAACAAATTTGACTAACCACGTCCCGGAATCTACCCAAGCCTAAGGGGAGGCGACAAGTGCTCTTGCAAATGGCCACTACTACTTACGTGCAATCGACCAATGGATCCAAATCTGTCAAAGCCTGAATTCTTTTCAATAGTAGGAGCCAAAGCTCATACGTTACAAATTCTCTCAAATCCAAACTTGGTCTAGTTCCGTTAAAAAGGGAAACGCTCAATCTAAATACATTTGGCGATAAACGGTTCTCTAAACAGCAATGCGATTTAGTTCAAGTGTCCTTATAGGGCAAGCGTTCGATCCTAAGGTCCTTCCTTTACAACCTTATGTTGAATAAAATACAACAAGAATTGGAAGCAATATATCCAAAATCGTCCAGGAAATAAGAGAACTGACCAATAAAGAGAATTGGAAACATTGTCCTGGTCATTTGAATCCAGCTGACCTGCCGTCTTGCAGATGTTCCGGACACAATCTTGTGGGTAACGACAAGTGGTTGAATGGTCCTGATTTCCTGCAACTACCCAAGGACCAATGGCCAACCGATCCTCAATCGACCCAACATGATGAATTGGCTAATACTGAGATTATAAAAAAAAACCTTAGTTACCCACTCCTTAACAAGCCATTGAAAATGTACTGATGCCTGTATCTATTTAGAGAAGATTATCAACGTTGAGAAATTTAGTTTGAAAGAAAGAGTACTACATATTACAGCCAGAGTCCTACGCTTTGTTAAGAAAGCTCGAAAGCAGAGTGGTCCATTTGCAACAGAATGAAGAGCTGAAGAATTATGCAAAGCAGAAAAAGTGTGGGTCCAATCCATTCAGAACGATTCCTTTGGTGAAGAATTATTGTGTTTGAAGAACGGACAATCGAATAAGTTGGTTAAGCAACTTCGACTTTTTCTTGATCAGGACAGTATTATTAGATGTGAAGGTAGAATACCCAACTCTAACCTTTCAGACAGTGCAAAATCACCAATTCTCATGCCCCCGAAACGTAGATTCACAGAATTTATCATTCGAGAGTGCCATGAAAGGGTTTGTCACGACGGTATACAAGAGACTTTGAATGGTGTTTGCGAAAGGTTTTGGGTTCCGCGTGGCCGAGAAGCGGTCAAACGAATTGTTAGGAGATGCATAACATGTACGAAAATAGAAGGCAAGCCATTCATTACCCCATTCGAGTTAGCGACGACCCTCCCTTTACTAACTCTGGGATTGACTTTGCCGGTCCGATTTATGTAACAGCCGATAGTGGAACACACAAGTAATACATTTGTCTATTCACTTGCCAAAGTACTAGGGCCATTCATTTGGAACTTGTTACTGATTTATCTACCGAATCATTTCTTCAGGCTTTTCGAAGATTTGTGTCACGAAGAGGCCTCCCAACGCTCTTAACTGACAACGCTAAAACGTTTAAGTCTGTGTCGAAGGAAGGTCAATATATCCTAAGATCGGCCGAAGTAGAAAGAGCTCTAGCGAATAAGGGTGTAGTGTGGGAATATATTACAGAAAAAGCCCCATGGCATGGAGGCTTTTGGGAGCATATGGTAAAAAGCGTCAAACGGTGTTTGAAGACAATTCTGGGAATAACATCTTTGAATTTCGAAGCCTTGAGAATGATTCTAGTTGAAGTTGAAACAACGATTAATAACCGACCTCTAACCTACGTCTATGACGATGATGAAGTTGTCTCCTATCCCTTGACACCTTCTGACTTATTTACGGATGGAGAATTTCTCTACTGCCAAACGAGCAACATTTTGACATGATAAGCACTTGCCAGTCATTAACAAAGAAAGCTAAACATCATAAATGCCTTTTGGGTAATTTTACTAGGAGATGGAGGAATAAATATCTTCTCAGCCTGCGAGAAGTTTCGTCAGCGCTTCATGCTCCATCACGAGAGATAATATCCGTTGGTGATATAGTGGTGATCAAGAACGACAGTGTTCCCAAGTTTTTGGGAAACTAGCTAAGGTTGAAGAGTTAAAAAAGAATGATGATGGCATAACACGTTCAGCAAAAGTCAAGGTTATGAATTCTGAAGCGAGGAAAGACGACTGTGTTGTGACGCCCTATCCAGCACCTCATCCCTCTGGAGTTACATATTGAACCAGATACGAGATCTGATGTTGTTGAACGAGATAATTGTGATCATGTTGTAAAAGATCAAGGACGTTGTCCGAGACGAAAGGCTGCAATCAAGGGTGAACTTTCGAGAAGGAACTGTAAAGATATTCTTTATACAGTCTATATTGAATAGTTTTTAAACCATGCTTGTTATATAACCAGTCAACTCCGGGAGTGTAATAGAGTTATGCACGTGACATGCACGTGCGTGCGCATGAACACGTTTTTGTCAGTACTTTGAAAATGTACTTTTGTACATTTTCGCAACATGGAAGAGAAGGTCATTTTGTAAGTTTTATATGATATAATAGCTTATATTAAAGTGTTAAACCTACGTAAGAGTGAACTTGATCGAACAGAAACGAATATGTATTACAGTATGCTAAGACAATGACAATGTTTTTTAAATGTCGTTCTCTGCTATATTAAAAGACAATGTCAAATAACGTTGTGGGCCACTGAGCTTATATTCGGGGGGCGAGGGCTTATATTTGGAGGTTTACGATATTGTTACATTCATATTGCAGTACACGCTTAACCATGCATGAGAGAAAATATTAAATTGTCTCACCAATCACCGAGTTTCCTTGGAACCTAAAGTTTTTCCATTTGAAGCCATAAACCTCTATGGCATTTACATTTCCCCTCACAGATACCACAACAGAGGTGTAATGGCTTAACAAAAATATTTTGTTTATAATCTAAAGACTCTAACAATAGTTTCCTTAGACATGTTGTTACTAGTGCAAAAGGTACACATATCATCCTGCATACCCACTTGATTCATGGCAACATCTCTGTTATTGTAATACAACAGAGCTGTTGAGGGCTTGCCATCTCTGCCAGCTCGTCCAGTCTCTTGGAAGTATGCCTTCACTGTACTTGGTAGTCCTATATGGATAACTTCTCGAATGTCTGGAATGTCAACACCCATTCCTATAGCAACAGTTGCAAAAACAACATGAAGAACACTTTCACCGGAACAAAGTTGCTTCAGGATTTCTTCCTTTATCTGAGTGGTTTGTGGGGCATGGAATTGCACAAACAGTCTGTTGCAAGGAATTGAAGTGGAACCAGGAGCGAAATACTGTTCATTACCAAGAACATGCTAGTCAAAAAGCTTGTAAGCAAATCCACATAATCGTAATGATAAAACAATAGTTAGTGGATAAGTAATCTTTTCTTCTAAGAGCCCTATGGCAATTAGTATCAAAATTGATTGAATGGCATCAACATCTTTTCCTTTGCAGAAATATTTTTCCTGTCCGGATTGGCAACAATGAATTTGCAGTTCTTCAACCTCAATGACTTCAGAATACATTGTATATCATTCCGAGTTGCAGTTGCGGTCATTGTCAGAACAGGAATGCCTGGGTACATTGCACATAGCACTCCCAATTTTGCATAGCTTCTTCTAAAGTCAAGACACCTGAATTTAAATAAAGAACAAAGTTTATTCAATAGTTCAGAGTGCATTACATCAAGGTTAGGAATTAAACTCCTAAATGGCCCTTTCGACACACAACCTATCCTAACTGATAAAGCTGGAAACCAAACCCAAAATAGTAACAAAATATAAACACCTATCCAATCCAAGAATAGTTCATTGACAGTTAAAATCGTTTGCGTTTGGTTATACCGAATAAAATGCTAAAATTAGGTGCATCAGACACGTTTGCACCATAAACGTTATGAAGCATATTTTCAGGCATGTAGTTTTGGTCATAAATAGTCCCTATATTAACCCAGTAAGTGGCAGCACTCTCCCGTTGATGAGTAAAATTGTCTGGTGTTGGACAGAGTCAAATAATAAAGTAGGCCGCAATACAACTCAGTGGTTAAATGGACACATGGGCATAGGCCAGTTAACCCACTAAGTGCCAGCACTCTCTCATTGATGTGTAAAATCATATGGCATTATACAGAGTAAAATAATCTGGTGTTAGAAAGAATAAAATAATATGTAGGGCGCATCAGGGCACAATGCAACTCAATGGGTTACCTAGTCACATGGGCAAAACACCAACAATTTTATTGAAATCAATATTTTTTCATTAAATTATTCAAATTCTCAAGCTGATACATGCAGGGCTGTAGAAATTTAATAGTTGAAATAACAACTTAAATAACGTAATTTATTATATAATAGAGAGTGAGATTCTGAGAAATGCACAGTGACATATTTTCCATATCTTCACTAGTGAGGATATCGATGTAACTTTGTTTACAAGTGTAGTTGCCTTTGCGGCTCTTTCACAATTCCAACATGGCAATCGAGGTTTGTGCAAATCAGTGACGATGATGTAGAAAGATCCAATGAGGAACACGAAAACGAAAATACGAGGAAAAAAGTTCTACGACACAAAAGTGTTCCTTGAGTTTCTGGTGGCCGAAGGTGAACGTAGAAAAAGCAAGGAAACTCCCCAAATGAGTTGAAGAACCTGGCAAAAAGGTTTGTATTAAGAGTCCAAAAAAAGAACAGCAAAGTGTTTTGACAGTGTTTATTAAAACTTTTGCTTGTTGGAAACATTTTTCATAATTAGTTTTCAATAATTACCTGACGTATCTTTCATATAAATATGTTTGTGTATGCAGTTACTATCATACATGCATGACCGTAATAAACACAATTTGCTTTTGAGCGTAAAATTTCACAATTTTTTTTATAATAAACAGATCATTACACGGTGGCTTGAAGATATGACTTTTATCTTCTTGTGTTAAAAACAATATTTTACTCACTTGCTGTGCTTGTTCGTAAAATATTGTTTTCACCACTGGAAGATAAGTCATATCTTCGCGCCGCCGTGTAATACCTCTATATATACTAACCAGTTAGCTATACAATGCGCTTCCTCTATCACAATTGCCACGACATTATCTCGATACTTCTTGCTCAACAGTAACTCCCGTCCATATTTGCTGGATTTCAGGATAAGCAAAAACAATGTGGTTTTGACCATCACATAGCTTCTCCTCTTGGCAGTTCTAAACAGGAATCAACATCTACGTTGAACTCATCGTCCATATTCTTGTCAAAACTGTTTGCCATTTGATCCCCTCTGGATTCTTTCACACCGATATCTGATGCTTGGATCCCGCTCATATTTAGACGAAATATTTGGTCGCTCATTAAAGAGTCCAATGGCGAAACAACAATTACGATGGTGTTAACCACAGTAGAGATAGCTTACGATCTCCAACCAAGAAGGACATCACTGCACAATTTGTATTTCATGAATATCAATGTGGGCAGAAGATGGAAAATTAAAAACTTCCCATAGCCCATTGGCAAGACACGCATTACATTCTTCTCCAGATAGGCACTCTCCAGACAAAGAACTTGCTTCGGGTTCAGAATGATACCTTTATAAACACTATTGAAAAGTGCAAATTCCAATCACAACAAAAAAGCAATCTAGTCAAACATGGCAAAAGCAGGAAAGAAGAATACTAAGTGGAAGCATGTAATATGATACTTTACCCACAGCCCCCTGAGGCAATCGAATTTTAATTGATCATGTGACCAGCCACAACCAGGTACTTTCCAATCTCGTACCCAGAGCAATGCCTGTTCACGGGCTAGGACGGCATTGGCTCTGGGGAAATTGAAAACCGGAACCCCTAAATTCTGGGGTTCCAGTTGTTGTGAGCATGCTCAAAAGCCCAACCGCTTAAACACGGGGAGTGCAGACTGCAGACTCCAGCGTATTATTTATGTTTGGAAATCATATAATTTCATGGTACAATAATACAGTTTTCTGACATTGAAATGATTGAATACACCAGGCTTGAATCAGAAAAGGTATGGTTTAAAGTTTATTAAATTCGTTATTTATACTGGCTATATTCACCGCATATCAGTTTGTTTATATAACGTCTTATTATTTTTATATGTTTTTCAAGAATTTGAGACACTGAACTTATAATAATTAATTTATTAAAAACGTTTACCCTAGGTTCCATATACGCTTCTTAAATTGCTACAGTATGAGTTGCTTGCTATTAAATAATGCTATAAAAATTGCGATAAATAAGCTATATTCACATGATGTAAAACTGAAAGATGAACAGTTCCGTGCTGTAGAATCAGCCTTGCGTGGAAAGGATGTATTGGCTGTGTTGCCCACTGGTTTTGGCAAGTTGCTAATATATCAAATATTGCCCGATGTATTCGATTATATGTCGGCAAATTCACATTTGAGAGAAGGATGTGTTGGTTCGTTGATTTTGGTCGTGTTGCTAATGTGCGATCAAATTACGCTAATGCGCTAATGTGCGATCAAATTAATAAATTACGCAAATTGCGCTAATGTACGATCAAATTACAAAGTTAAATAAGGCTGGAATTCAATCATTTATGGTAACAGAAGTGGTTTCAGAAAATGAAAAAGCACAATATGATATTTTTTTAGAGTCTTTAAAAGACCTATCCTGTACTTGCAAAATCCTTTATTTTCATGCAGAATTATGCATCAATAATAAGTCTTTTTCAATGTCCTTAAGTCTCCAGGATTCCAAGAAAGGGTTAAGTGTTTAGTTGTTGATGAAGCCCATCTTATTAAAGAATGGTATGATAACTGTATACCATAATTTGCATTCAGTTATATTTTATTTGACATATGTATTGAGTCATAATGGTACTGTACATTTACAATATTGCCTACATACCAGGGCATTTTTTAACTATATAACTACTGGGACATTTACCCCCAGTAGGCCCTTTGCTTGCCCCGGTATTGAAGCAAGATTTTCAGATGAACTGGGCCCTTTTGATCATCAGTAAAAAGTCACTGATCTTGTTGACTAAAAGATGCATCTTCCTGCCTTCTCATATCGTCTCACATTCTCGAATTCCATCTTACAGAAGTCAGAACAGGCAGGGGTGGCGCTAAAGGGCAGGGGTGGCGCTAAAGGGCGGGGGGGGGTTGGGTGTTGAAACGCTCCAGTCAGGTAGCCAGGAAATTATCTAATTCCAGTTGGATAGGAAGCAAAGAAACTAAAATAAACAATGCTACTTTAACCAAAAAAGAAAAGTTTAATGTGCGGAAAATTTTTTGATGTAGAAATGAAAACCCCTTCCTCCCCCCCTCCCCCAACTCGCCAACAATTTTGGGAAAAGAAATATTAATTAGCCGGAAAAATGTCACTTACACGCCCTCTGTCACACAAATAGGACTAGCACCGCCCAAGAACACAGATAACTGTGCGGGGGAAAAGGCCCTCATTGAGACTTGACCCCGGTATTGGAATTTCTTAAAAAATGCCCTGCTACATATTGTACTGTGCATATAATCAACCGGGATTTACACTGGTCAATAGAAGTGTGCAAATACAAAGTCACTTTGTCATCTTCTTTTCATGCATTTCTTGCTTTTATATTTATTTGTTTAAACATTTCCACTTGATTTAGAAATTTATTTTATTAATTTAAATGGTTATTCTGAACGCAATTTGGATTAGACAATTTTGGATCAGATTTTAAACATTAGCCAATTGTAAACGTCCAATCCAATGCACACCTCTACTGGTCATGTTCTTCCTTGCTTTTGTAAGGTTAACCATATCTTTTTAAAGTATTTAATTGCTAATTGTTACTCATTTAAAACTAGCAATGCACCCCAATGTGCCTGCTTTACTATTTACTCTGTCTAATGCCAGACGATTTTACTAATCAGTAGTATATACTGTCAGTAAATGGTTTAAAGTTGGGTAATTGGATTACAATTGTTAAAGTAGGGTGAACCAAGGTATGTTGCACTTGTTAAGCCAGTAGTGGGTTGACATGTGAATTTGGATGATCGCTTTGTTAACATATCAACTAAAGGTGCAAGGTTATGTGTCACATGGTTGTCATACTGTTCTGTTCATATTTGTAGGAAGACCTTCAGGCCTGCATATGGAAAATTGGACATACTGGGAAGTATCTTTGCAAATGTACCCTTTCTGGCTCTGTCAGCTACAGCAAACAGTGAAACTAAGTCTATGATAATTGAATCATTGCAGTTAACAGATGTTGAGTTAATTGAAGTCAATCCAGATCGTGAAAACTTATTTTATGATGTTAAGAACAGACCATCTCATGGAGATGATAAACTCGTGGAGTGTATCATCTCTCATGGAGATGATACACATTCTTGTGTATTGCTGCTGGGTACTAAAAGAACAGATGGTCCTATGCAACCACCACTCTTCTTTATCTTGCAAAGGTTTCTACATTGTTCATCAAGTTCTTTGAGTATGATATGCTGAATGCTTGCTTTAAGAAGAAGCATGGACATAACTTCTTTACCAATGTCTTCTGGGATTCCAAAATTAACAATTGTTACCAGCCTTTTCACTTTACTTCTATCAAGAAAGCTGCATGGACTGTTCATGAACTAAAGTGTAAACACATAAATAAAAATTAAATGTAATTCTATATGAATAAGAAATTAACATATTAATATTATTCTCACAAATCACATATAACATATTAATTAGTATCTATCAATGGAAAACTTGGATACTGAAAAGAATGTAAGCATGAAGATCAAACATGGAAGACACTGAATGAACTGCATTTTGTTTTTTGATGAGGTAAAACGATATATTTTTGAACATATTACAACAATATATGAACTTATTGTACATGTTGCAATTATGACTATAAAACAATAACTTTCAGAAGATTATTTTGCTACCTACCTACATCAGTGATGATCATTTAGTGTACATAATTAAAGTAGGTTGGTACCCGAATAGAAAGTGTGGAAAGTGTATGGCTGATATTTGAAAAATTTACCACAAAATACAGGGTGTATAAAAAAAATTTGACAATTTTTAAATTGCTTTCAAATTCACAAAGTGGATCCAGGTAAGAAGTTTTTGATTAACATAGATTATTTGGTTTCTTATAATGCAAAATAAATGAAAAACATTTGAAAGTTAAATTTTCAAAACCCAGGGGAGACTGTTGTTTCCAACAGATCAAAAACAGCTTGCACACAGAATTTGAATACTTAAAAGTTATTTTGAGTTAGTGGGTTGGAAATATGTTGGGCTTAAAGCAAATTTTCTGAAATTTTGAACAGCAATTAAATTCCAACCAAATTTCATACCCACTAACTCAAAATAACTTTTAAGTATCCAAATTTTGTACACAAGCCATTTTTAATTTGTTGGAAAATACACTCACCCCCCCCCCCCTGGTTTTGCAAATTTATTTTTCATAATTTTTTCATTTATGCTACATTATAAAAACCCAAACAATCTATATTAATCCAAAACTTCATACCTAGAGTCGCACCGTGAAGTTGAGAGCAATTTCAAAATTGTATACCTTTTTTTATACACCTTGTACAATATATTTAGGAATGTCAAAATAGGGTGGTGGAGTGCTCCATGCCACTGCGAGATATAAACTTCCAAGTCTTGGGTTGGCAAAGCTATAGCAAAAAATACCTTTGGATTTCTAAGGCCACTTTCTTTCAGAATCCCCTTCCCATCAAGTACAGCATTTTGTTTTGTTGTTTCAGACTAAAAACAACAAATGACATTGTCTACATACCTTTATATCATAACTTAACATAGATGTCCTCAAAAGTGAAAAGGCGCATACGTAAACATTGGTCACTGAGTAAAACATTACATAAATACACTGTACATACTGCAGTATGCCAGTACGAGTATTTATATAATATTTGCAATTATATTACAAAATGTACAATAATTTTGACCTTGTATTTAACTACGAACATTATTATATAACGATGACATGTTACTCAAATTATATTGTTTATTTTGTCGAGATAAACATTGTTAGTAAATGCAATCGTACCTGATTAACTGTGTCCATTTGTATTGGCCTCAATGGCCTTGGCAAGATGTCAGAGGAAAGAATGGGTGGGAAAAGACAATGTCTTATGTCGGCAGATTGTTCTTGTTGACGTTTATGTAGAAGTGTTCTGCATGATGGTGAAAGTGTCAATTGTGAAGGGCTTTGTTGGCAAACTGAACGTTTTCCTGCAACTGACGATTGAGAACAAATACCACACAATTTTTTAATTCGTTCCACAATGGAATAAATGAGAGTATAGCATTGTTGGCAGACGTATGATAGCACATCAATATTTACATTTTCCTTAACGCGAATACCACTATATAACTCCAAACCCTCTTTTATACCTTTCTTAAGAGATTTATCTCCAAAAAGATTGACCGCATGTTTTATTTTATCAATATATTGATGGCAACAGCGACATTTAGACGAATTGTTATGCCCAACCGTATCCGCCATGTTGCGCATTTGAAGTAGCTTTTCAATATACTTATATGAAGTGCTGCCATTTCACTGGAAAACTATGATGAACGTTTAAACCAATCACAGCACAGGAAAAATTCAATTTCCCCAGAGCCAATGCCATCCTAGCCCGCATACAGGCATTGCTCTGGGTACGAGATTGGGGACTTTCCTTCACAAGAGGGAAGAGCCTGGGAACAAGGTTGTCTCAACCCAGGGTTATGCTAATGGTCCCCAAATATCATTCACTGGTATGCTGAATAATTTGTCAAATTACATGATGAAGTGGATTGGAGTAAAGGAAAATTTAAATAAAACTCTCTGGTGATGGGGCAAGAATGACAAGAAATTCAAGATTTATTTTGCTTTCATTCTCTCTACTTCAAAACCAAGATGATGTGATGTCTGCCAGTGGAAACCACATATTTGCCATTGTTAAGGGGTCAGAAAGCTACAAAACACTGACAGACTCATTGCAATGATTTTTCAGGAGATCAACAACTAATCCAGGTTAGTGCAATCAGAATCAATAACTGAAGATTAAATCTTGAGTTCTCAAGATTAAATCTTGAGTTCGTCCTTGGGGGACACTACAAATTCCTACTCCTCATGTTGGACATGAAATCAGCAAAATCAAATTTTTCATGTGTTTGGTGCAAAATCTACAAGGAAAACCCGGTAGGTAATGGATGAAAACTTAGAGTATTATAACTCTGCCCCCCTCAAACACAAGCTACAAGAAGTTATTGACATGGCAAAAAAGAATGGTTCAAATGACAAGTATTCTTGTGACAATGAGCTACTTATTAAAATTGACTTGGATCATGTTGTGCTAGACAAATCACATTTATTACTAAGAGTAACGCATGTCTTATTAAACATTAGTATTTTTTCACAAGTGAACATAACAAATCCTACAAGGTGATTGGTCAAATTTGACGTATTAATCTGTTATATTCCCCTACAGCTGAATATAACAAAATTGCAATTTTCAAAATGGTGGCTAGCCATTTTGTTGAAGTTAGTGATAAAGAAATAAGCGAAATTAAAAAGAATTCAGACTAGAAAAACACAAAAACAGTTATTCGCCTCAGGCTTGGTGATTATCGGGAATATTCACCTTGACTTCATCTCAGCAAATATTCCCTGATAATAACCTCGCCTTCGGTGAATAATTGTTAAATATTATTCAGGAAGTTATTTGCTGGGATATGAAAGAAAATTTTAACAAGAAAAATGTGAAAGAAATAACCACACCAGAAAAAACATTGGAGATCAGATACAGAAAAAGGCAAAATGATGTTATGGTAACATGCCATTACTCGTTTGAAACCGAGTTTGGTTATGTGTTTAGTTAGATGCTTTGAGTGACCTTGAGACTTGAGTGGCGTGTCCTTTTCATATTTTGTTCTCAAATGTTTACATTTGTCATGTATGCAAATTTAGTATAGTTTACAGTATATGTTTGATTGGTTAGCATTCCTATATATGTTTGTAATCTTGCTTATCTTGTCAAGTACCAGCAATTACTCAATAACTCATAGCAATTGGAATTCAGCCCAAACTGAGGGTAAATGAAATCACTTAAAGTGCCTATCTCATGATTGAGGTTTTTACATATTTACCATATTTTGAACATTTTAAGACGATTTGCTTAATATTGTCATAAGCAAAAATTTAATCTTCCTTATCATTTTTGCTGTTAAAGTTGGCTATTTGAAAATATGACTGGGAGAAAAGAGCCTGGTAAATACATGCCAGAAGTGATGTACACGCAGGGAGAGGCTTTCAAGAGAAAACATCGCATATCATGTAAATGTGTAAACTATAGGAAAACATTGAAGTATTTTTTGCTAAAAAATGTTAAATAGAGGTGTGTTGTGTATGGCTGTTCTAATGAACCAAACCTCAAAAAGGGTATTGTGCTGCATTGTATACCATTCGCGGATGACGAGTGACAGGAAGCTCAGAAAAGACAAAAGAAGTGGATCAATTTCGTTAAGCAAACAAGATTAAAGTGGACACCTGGGATGACATCATCAATATGCTTGCAGCATTTTAAAGAAGATGACTTTCAAAGGAATTTTTGTCCTTGCTTCGGAAGAAAAAACCATGAAATATATGCCTCGATTGAAAAGAGACGAAATAGAAGTCAGTGTGTGTCCATCTGTTTACTTGTCCTCATCGACAAAGCCAGAAGAGACGGAAAGAGATATTTGCCGTAAGGTGAGCTACAGTACTTCGTCCAAAATTATGGTTAGGATTGGTATTGCATGACATCTTTGTTGGCAAATAAACATTCAACCAAGATACTATCCATTGACATTAGCCCAATAAGTGTGACAAAATAGTCTTAATATGCCCACTGTGTATAACTTGTTTGCTGTCATATCTATATATTAATTATCTATTAATTTTTCTAGAGCTTATGTCAATGATTACAAGTGAACAGAACCCAAATTCATTGTATGTTTATCTCAACTAATGCTCCTGTTTCCACTGGTTGATGTACAGCATTGTGGTACAATGGCTAAAGTTGTGACAACGTGTCATAATCAAGCCTGTGGATCAAATGTGCGGGATAGTCAACCAAATATGGTTGGTACCAAAATCCCTGCTGGAAACTTCCTTTTATCATTTGCAATTCTTGTTGCTGATGGGTCACCTTGTGGATATTTGAGCATATGGGGTTGTCTTGCATTGCATTGTCTACTTATTTCTGTCATCAAAGTGTAAGCTATATGTTTTTTATTCAATGATTATTTGACTGTTTATTTTCATCTTGCTCAAGACCCCCTCAAGAAGATTAACCCTTTAAGTGGCAATGCGCCCTGATGTACCCTACTTTATTTTTTACTCTGTCTAATACCAGATGATTTTGCTCATCAAGAGAAGAGTGTTGCCACTCAATGGGTTAAATTTTGGTTTACCCAGGTTGGAAATATAAAACGGAAGCATGGGTCAGAGGTGACCTCATTGGTCATATATTAGTGTTGTATCTAAGAATTGTGTGTTAGTTTGAAATGTCACTCAAGCCTCTGGGCATGTATTTGTTACATCACATGCAAAGGGGGCTTGTGTAATAGATCAAATTGAACAGTACGACCGATCAGTAAGGATCAATTTATTCACACTAAAACGAAGAAAACGACTCCCGAAGAAAAGATTACTGGATGCTACTTGAGGAACAAGAGGACACCAAAGTAGGATTTATATATTTGTTTTGTTTGCTTAATTAGTTTAGAAGCATGCACATATTATATTTAGACAGTAATTTAGCATAGTCAAGTTCATTTAGTATATTAGTATAACTATTGCATGGTATTTAATTTAGTCACTATTTTCCTTATAGTTCGAACTTGTTTGATTGTCTATTGATTGTTGCTATATTTGAACACCAAATTAAAGAAATCTATACTGACTGTACGTCTATTAATCTACTCTCTTTCTGCGTCAAAGACGAAGTTCGAAACCCTCAGGCTACTCAAGTAAAACCCCCCATAAGCTTTAAGAAATCAGTCTACCCTATTGCTACGCAAAGAGCTTACATTATGCAACTAATTATGTCTGACGCCATATAATTTTACTCATTGGAGTTAGTTGGTTCCAAATTCTAGCAGATCTATCAAATAAATTTAAGTCTAAAATCTTTCAACTTTTTTTTGTATATTTTTAGGAAATACTTTTTCCTGTTATCTATATGCACTGGGAAAAGTACCAAAAGCAGATAGTGACAGACATAAAGAAGGAAAATAAAAAAGGCATAGTTGTAGCAGGACATGGTCGGCACGATAGTATGGGCTATAGTGCCAAATATTGTGCATATACCATTCTTTGCTGTACAACATCTAAGGTTATACACTTTAGACTTGTCCAGGTATGGCTTGGAAGTACATGTTGGTGAAATGCCTTCTCAGAATAATTTGTCATGCATCTACAATCGTCCACAAAATATTTGAGACAAACCCCCTCCCCCGATTTCAATGTTGTTAGATACTACAATAGGTGGTTGATCCCAATGTTGTTAGATACTACAATAGGTGGTGCAGACAGGTGGTTGATCCCTAAAATCATTTCTTAAATTTACTTAGTTTGGGTTTCAAAAGCTGTTGTATGTATATATTTTAGAACAAAAAATTGAATAAGATTCCAATTGAGGTTTCTCTCCATCTGCGATATCTTTACCAAGACTTGGGCATTAGAGGAAAACAATTACTTGATAAATACAAACAGTTTTCGAAGGCAAGCATATATAGGCACGCCAAAAAATCAATTGGAAGTTCTGCTGTAGATAAAAGAAAAAGCAATCGTGGCAATCGTGGACGACCTTCTAAACTTAGTGAACGAGATAAGCGTTCGATATTACGTCAAGTTGAGATGTTACGAGATTCTGTCGGGAATTTCACGAGTAAGCATGTTCGTGTATCTGCAGGAATTGAATCCTGTGTATCAGATGAGACCGTTAGGCGGGTGATGCGAAGTAATGGATTGAGATACAGACATGCTCGGAAAAAGGGACTACTCACACGAAAGGATTTAAAATCAAGGCTTGCATTTGCAAGGAAAGTCAGACGTAAATTGAATCCAAATATTTGGAAGAATGGTATTTCTTTTTACCTTGATGGTGTCAGCTTCACTCATAAGTATAATCCCTCTGACCAAGCACGTGCTCCAAAAACAATGGCTTGGCGAAGACCTAACGAGGGGTTAAAATATAAATGCACGGCTAAAAGAAGTCACGAGGGCACTGGAGGGAAAGTGGCACATTTCATTGCAGCAATATCGTATGGCAAGGGGATTGTCCTATGTGAGCAATACCACGGAAAGTTGAATGGTCAAAGTTTCGCTAACTTTGTTCACGAACATTTTGCGCGTTTGTTTTCTGACTGCTCAAACCCCAAGGGTAAATTATTTCTTCAAGATGGAGACCCAAGCCAAAACAGCAAGAAAGCTAACGACGCCATACACAATGTAGGAGCTCGCAAGTTTAGTATCCCCCCCAGAAGTCCAGATATTAATCCAATTGAGAATATTTTTCACCAAGTGAAACGCAAACTTAATTCGGATGCCATAGAAAATAACATAGTGCAGGAAAATTTCAAAACGTTCTCAGATAGAGTCAAGACTACTATGGAAAAATTCCCCACACATATCATTGACAAAACGATTGAATCTATGGACAAACGAATTGGTTTAATATCAAGTCCAAGGGACAGCGAACAAAATATTAATCAACCACTTGACTATAATAACAAAATACTTGATATGAAACACAAAACAGAGCATTACCATCGAACATTTGTAACCATAGGCGTTACCATGAACTATTAGTTTATTATGGCTGTTATTCGATTACTAAAACTACGAGTTACCACGCGTTACCATACGCGTTACCATGAACTAATTGAATTTTATGGTTTTTCCATTACTAAAACAACGCGTTATCATGCGTTACCACACGTTACCATAGGCGTACCATGAAATAATTGCTTTTATTTAGGTTTTTTATTAATAAAGCAACGGGTTACCACGCGTTACCATGAATTCTTAAATAAAATATATATATATTATTTTTTAATAAAAATACACAGTAACGCGTTGCTTTATTAATAAAAAAACTAAATAAAAGCAATTATATCACAGTACGCCTATGGTAACGCGTGGTAATGCATGGTAAATCGTTGTTTTAGTAGTAGAAAAGCCATAAAATACAATTAGTTCATGGTAACGCGTGTGGTAACGCGTTATTAATCATTGCTAGCGTACTTGTTTTGTATTTTTGAACTGTTATAAATGAAGTTTCATTGTAGACTATTTAGCAGTTATTCTACAGACTCGAGTCGAATATGAGCTGATAGCCGATGAGGCGCGTAGCGCCGAATCGGCTATCGCTCATATTCGACGAGAGTGAGTGGAATAACTGTTTTATTATATACACAAGGTCTGAATTCACAGACTTTACTTTTCGAATATTTTCAATATTTTTCTATTTTGTTTATGTTTTTATCTTAATTCGCTCTTTCGGCCGATTATTTTTTCAAAAATATATATATTTTTAACCATTTTAAATTTTAAAAATTTATTTGCTAACCTGAAAACAATTTGTGGGAGTTTTTTCATTGTGTTTTTAATCCTGTGAAGGCTATAAAAAGCGACAACTTGCCGTTTTCTTGTTTGCAAAACATCGTAAATTCAGTTTGGCCGCCATTTTGTTTTTCTCTACTGGCGGGATATGAGCTAATATCCTGCTAGTAGAGAACCAATCAGATTGCAGAATACTTCATATCCAGACCTTGTGTATATAATAAAGTCAAATATCCTCTTCTCCCAATAATGCTAGTTCAGAAAAGCACCGCACGCATTGAGAAACTTGCTTTTGTTCACTTTCTGGAATCTGGTGCTTAAATTCAATCACCTTCCATCTGATTGCCATCATTTCGGTCTCACGCTCGTCTGATGAGTGAAACTTACCCGCATAGGCAATTCGGGACTTGCTTGTGGCGAAAATTGGTGTGTCTTTCTCTATGACGACGTCAGAAAAGAACTGGTTCTTTGGTGCTGGCAACTTTACAGTTTCGCCTTCCAACAAAAGTAGCAAATCACTCCAGGGTATCATTTCATGACTCCATCGAAAATCTTGCAGAACGATGACTTCAGCAGAATCAGCACCGACCCACGCATATTTATCATTGGCAGGCTTCGAAAACACATTATAAATAGACGATAAGGGCTTGAACATGAATGTTTTGCCACAATTTGCCGGTCCGATAATCATTAGGTTTCTGAATTTCCCCCGTCCATTTATCAGAAGATCGCGTATTGCAGCTGCGTAAACAAAAGGATGTATCTTGTTGTTTCTTAGAACTTCTATGGCACATTCCAACCAGAGTTTGTCACAACCTGGAGAACAATCTTCGCTCAATCTTTCACATAGGATCTCCATTCTCGATTTCTTTTTGCGCTGAAGATCCTCGTTGGCCGTTTGCATTTTCCATGTTTTATCAATTAGTTCATTTAGAACGCTTGATGACTTTGATAGAATGAAATTGGCCATGTCCATTTGACCCTGATCTTTTCTCACTTTGGCAACGGCAAAAAGTTCCGTGTCTCTCTTTATTTTATGCTTGACTAAAAAGTCAGAAACTTCCACGTTGGTCAACCTCTTTGGCCTTGATGACTTTTGTTTACAGGGCATGGTATCCTTCTCCTCTCCCAGTTTGTGCGCTCTTTTTCTCGATTCTCTGTATGCTTTCGTCGAATTCTTTGTTTTGGGTGATCCAACCTCACTCAGATCAGGATGACCAATGCTGTGAACCACATGATCATCCGTTTTACACACATACCTGTATGCGGCTATGTAGTTGTCGTGATTGTCTGAGAAGTGGACAGTTACGTTGTGCTTCTTTATGATATCGTTTTTAATCTTCAACCACTTCTTCGGGGCAGTCAGTTTCAAGGAAACATGATAATGTACCCCTTTGTCTTGGTGTTCTTCGAGACAACACGCCCAGTGACTAACCTTAGCCTTTCCAGTACCAGTGTTGAATTGCTCTTCAAGCATCTGACCGAAACTTTCACGGCTGGGAAATTTGTTCAAATCAGCTTGAGAATAGGTTACTAGACAGGTACGACGACTATTCCGCGGGTTTGCAAGTTGCTTTGATTGAAAATCATCCATACCAGACAATAAGTTGTTGAGTGTAATATCATAACGGTTAAAATTTAAATTTGGAGCGAAAACAGTAGCCCATGCATATAAATTTATGGATTTCTGGTTCAGCCTAATGTTTGATTTCCGGTTAGGCAACGAGATTGTTTACACATTTGCTTTGTTCTTGAATTTACATACTGATTTTAGTATACAAAACTCTTGATTTGTCTTTGATCCTCGTAATATTCATTGTTTAGACTGAATGGAAAGGTTTCCAAGAAACAAGACATGCCTAAGGTATGGATTTTGACTTCAATTGACAAACTATCGCATATAATACATGTATGTCGACGTATATACTATGTAAACTTGATATGTTATGCAAATTTCATTCATAGACTCTATTCAAATGATTGTCGATTAGCATAAGTGGTCACAATGAAAATATTATTGAATAAATAGCCAAAACCTCTGCTCGATTTTTCCTACATTTTCAGACAATCGTCCACAAAATATTTGAGACAAACCCCCTCCCCCGATTTCAATGTTGTTAGATACTACAATATAGTTTAATTCAAACACCATACGTTTAATTTCAACTGCCGGTGACACAGTTGCGGTTCTCGTGTCACCTTATGTTCGTTTTGGATAGGTACAGTAGGATTTCAACATTGAAATAAGGGGGGAGGGGAGTAATTTAAAAAGTCTCAATATATTTTGTGGATGATTGTAGCTTAAACACAGATATAGTATTTTGCCCTAACAAGTCCACCTGAAAATTGCAAGGTAGCATATACATTAAGTAGGGCTGTTTTCAGGCTATCAGTTTTTAAATGCCACCTAAAAAGCTGGAAATTGTTCATGAACCTTATAGTTTTCGATAAAGCTTTTTGGCAGTTTTTCTGCCAGAAGAAAAAAATTGATACAGTGATTGCAGAGAAAATTTTTAAAAAGGTATTTTCCCTTTAACTGAAGAGAAATGAAACAGAAGCAGCCAAGCCATGGAGTATCGGGGTTTCCGATGGTGTATGGAATTTGTCTTTACAGAGGAGTTGAATATGACAATATTCATTTCTAAAGACCAGGGGCGGATCCAGGGGGTGATGGCAAGCGTGTGGCTTGAGCCACGGTCAGATTTTTGAGATCGTCATATTCTCTATTAAATTTGGTCTATAAGGACAAAACGATCGTTATTTATACATACAAATTCCCAAACATCTAAATTTAAACAAATTAAATATATGTTCTCATTGTTACATCTTACTATTATTTTATTTTGACTTTCAACAAAATCGCGAAATAAAAAACGTAAATATCTCAAAAGATGTAATTCCTGAGCTGTAAAAGGTTCAAAACTTTGGGAAAGCCCCTCAGGGAAAACCCTCACTTGCTGAAGTTGAATGTTTGCTACGACGATAACCGAGAACCACTCGAAGTTGATAATTCTAAGTTCGTAAAATGTTCGTAAAATGCGACTGCGATTTTGAGCCACGGTCCCGCGGTCCTGATACTAAATATAGTAACTTCTTGCCACTTTGAGCCACGGTGGAGCATGTCAAGCCAATCACAGGCAATCACAGAAGTTTACAGTATTTACTTATTTAGTAAAAATAACTTACAAATGCATATTGTGAAAACCGATTCCATCATTTCATGTGCAAGTCTGCCCTCTCATTCAGATGTGTCAGGTAGAGAAAATTATTAACAAAATTACTGTTTGAATCCGGCTTCATGCTGGTTGTCTAGCAATCTGCATGATCAAGCATTATAACATTGACTCATTTATAAACATTTTGCAACAACACTGTTACAGTTATAAGCACTTGCATATACATGGAAATGGGGAAAATGTCATCTAAGATTAAAATCGCGAAATAAAAAACGTAATTATCTCAAAAGATGTAATTCCTGAGCTGTAAAAGGTTCAAAACTTTGGGGAAGCCCCTCGGGGAAAACCCTCACTTGCTGAAGTTGAATGTTTGCTACGACGATAACCGAGAACCACTCGAAGTTGATAATTCTAAGTTCGTAAAATGTTCATAAAATGCGACTGCGATTTTGAGCCACGGTCCACGGTCCTGATGTTACTAAATATAGTAACTTCTTGCCACTTTGAGCCACGGTGGAGTGTGTCAAGCCAATCACAGGCTGAGATTTTATTACCTGAGCCATGGTGGCCATGATTTCATTGCGCAATATTATGGAAATGCTTAAATCGGGAACAGTTCGGAAACTGTTCATCTGTTAATAGTCGCTTTGCACATTCCTGACTTTGTTCGACATGGCTTCTAGTTCTAGTGCGAGCTTTGACAATGTGCTCCGGCAACTTAGTCATATTTTTGGGCGCTTAAACTCTGAAGAAGACGTTTCAAGCGAGATTTTGTTATTGAAACAACATTGTGGTCGGGTTCTAGCTGAAGAAAGACAGCGAGAACAGAAAAATCATGTACGAACGTGCAAGTTTTCGAAGCTCCAATTTCCCAAGAGCCAGAAAGACAGATCTGCGCTTTGCGTACCTGTAAGGTGAGAAACTGACTTAATGATTTTTAATATTTATGAATTGTATGGAAAGTGGTATGTAAATTAGATCGAATATTTTACTGTATAGCTAAGCATTCAACCCGAATTAATGTCATCATTCAAAATGAACAATGCTTTATTTATCCGGTCGATTCAGTATATAATATATATTGTGATAAAGTTGAGATGGGTCGTGAAATAATATTAACTCTGAGTTTCTGGTACGTATTGTGAATTAATTAATTATATTGCTGTGCCTAACGATTATTTTATCCAGTATTGACCTTTTGTTGACATTTATATGGCAGCAATGCAATATTTACAAATTCACGGTTGCTTTATTTGTAAATATTTTGGTGATATTTTTTATTATTACTGAATACCCTAATTATTCTGTAAAATTCCTCCTGGATAAAATTGGGATGAATTTATATAAAAGTGAACCAACTTCATAGCGAGATATGTTTAGATGCTGTTAAGTCGGGTTGTCAGTTTTGTTGACAATGTTTCTTCTGCTGGCAGATGCGATACCGCAAGCTTTGAATATAAGCCCCCCCTCCGTGTATAAGCCCAGCACATAGCATTCACCTCATTCTGAATATAAGTTCACCTGAGAATAAGCCCACTTGTTTATCACTATTGTTTATCACTATTACCACTATTTATCACTATTACTATGCTTGTTTAAAACACTTGTTAATCACTATTAATTACTATTACACTAATAAACACAAAAAAACGTCCATGGCGTTTTCCCTTCCTATATAAGCCCTCTTTGTATAAGCCCATCAAAAATCACTTACGAAAGTATAATATAAGCCCAGGGCTTATAGTCGGAAGTTTACGGTATTTACTTATTTAGTAAAAATAACATACAAATGCATATTGTGAAAACCATCATTTCATGTGCAAGTCTGTCCTCTCATTCAGATGTGTCAGGTAGAGAAAATTATTAACAAAATTACTCTTTGAATCCGGCTTCATGCTGGTTGTCTAGCAATCTGCATGATCAAGCACTATAACATTGACTCATTTATAAACATTTTGCAACAACACTGTTACGGTTATAAGCACTTGCATATACATGGAAATGGGGAAAATGTCATCTAAGATTACAGATTACTGATATAAATATTCTTATTGTCAGTGGTAGACACTATAGGCCATACAAGGGAAGGGGATAACTGTCTGAATAACTGTCTGTATGTACAGTACGTGTAACAAAGGGGCAAAACAAATTGTATTATTTAATAGGTCACTCAAATACTGTATTCACAATGCACACCCAAATACCCCATTATTTGCTACATTACTAGTTTGTTTGCTGCTGGGTAATTTTACTTGTCATAATTGGATAAAGATCTTGCGACACTAATGGTTAACACGAAATTCTTTAATTAAGCCTGAATGTTAGTTCAAACTACTGATCATTGTTACATTGCAGCAAAGTAGGCTAGCCAACCTATACCTCCATTAATCAGTATTCTCTTAAATCATAATGCATACAGAAATGTTAATTAAGTAATTTTAGAATTTTATTTCTACAATCCTTGGCCACAGGGCTAAAATTATTAAAAAAGTTTTATATTTTCAATATGTTGGCAAAACAAGCAGTATTAATTAGTTCAGTAGTTTAGTTTAAAATGCGACTGAGCATATTTGGCCTATATTTTGCCATTAGGCAGCAATGCTTGGTCCCCTCAAATGGTTGTACATATTATGCATAATGACATAATAAAACATAAACCTGTGTTACAGTAGTCATTAATGGTTAGCTTGTTATAATAGGTGGTGAATCACTGTGACGTCATATATATTAATATAATCACAATAGTTAATCATTTTAATATTAAACCACCTTTAGTACCTTGGCTAATGGAAATTGCCTTTACAATGCCTGCTCCATTGCCCTGATAGGTGGTGAATCACTGCCATATATATTAATATAATCACAGTACTGTAGTTAATCATTTTAATATTAAACCACCTTTAGTACCCTGGCTAATGGAAATTGCCTTTACAATGCCTGCTCCATTGCCCTGACCGGAAATGATCGTCGTATTTCCGGATTATTGCGGTGCCTTACCAGTATTGAGTTGTATGAACATGCTCTATACTATGCCAATCATCCTGTGATTAAATTGCAGTATGAAAATGGAGCGTTCACTTAAAAATGCCTTTGCAATGCGCTTGTCTGATACTGCCCTGTCAGCTTTTGAGAAGTATGATAATACAGCAGCAGTTATCGAAGAAGCAAAGCATAATGCAATTACGAATTCTCGTCGATGATGTGTATGTTCGCCTTGGCAACAGTAATTGACTGTACCATTCAATCTTATTACCCTATTACCAACGATTCGGCACCAAGACAGGATTGGGACTCCTTAGCAAAAATGTTTAATTGTTCCATTTATCCGAGGCAATTTCTTGATGGCGATTTTCTTGAAAATGTTCATATTTTCCGTTGTGCTGCCATGCCCCAACGTTACTTAGTTGACCGGGAAATATCAACAAGCAAGTATCATTTTGTCGCCTTGTGCCAGCCAATTGATGATATCGAGCCTGGTGAGCATTATTTTCTGCCCCAATTCCCGATGTTGCCACAACCACCAAAAGCAACTGACGACCATGATCCTCCTAGTTCTATTTCCAAAATGATGCCAATTGGAACAAAACGAAAACAACTAAGCTTGGACTCGCTGCTTCCTAACAAAAAAGTCACAGAGGAACCGATGATTCCTTCTTCGAGCTCAGCGAATGAAATAACAGGTAACAATTCCATAAAATCTAGCAACAAAGTAAAATTAATTACCAACACCACTATCTCAACTGCTGTGAATACTGGCTGTCCTAAAGATATAAATAATTTCATCAATCGGGTGAGCACCCTTTCAGATGCTGAAAAGTACGAGCTTCTTTCTAACGCATGGAAACCTGGTTCAGATTACACTTTCCCTCCTGATAAGAATTCTGGCAGACGTTTTCAGTACAGCCGGTTATGTCGTTTTCCATGGTTGGTTTATTCTGCTGCTGCAAATATGGTGGTTTCTGTATCAATTGTGTCCTTTTTGGTGGTGAAAGTACACACAATGCTAGTAAGCTGCAACGATTAATGACCTCTCTTATTCCTTCAGCGTCTACTATGCAAAAGTTAACGCAACACGCACAGAAATCCAATGTACATGAAACTGCAACCATCCGAGCTTCAGAGTTTAAACGAATGATGGAACAAAAAAGCACGCCTATTGATGTCCAGCTCAATAATGCACGGCGGGAACTAATTGAGAAAAATAGGATGCGACTTAGTATGATTATCGATGCTATTATAACCTATGGCAGACAAAATATTGAACTCCAAGGTCACCGTGATGATTCACAGTATTACATTGAAGATGATACAACAAACCCAGGTAATTTTATTGAGATTGTCAAATATGGTGCAAGATGTGGTAACCTCATGGATGAGATGTTCAAGGATTGTCCTTCAAACCAAACGTATCGATCAAAACGATTCAAAATGAAATAATCAAAATATGTGGGGAAATGATAAAGAAGCGAAGTTCTTCTCTGTGCTGGCTGACGAGGCTACAGATTGTTCTAATGTGGAACAAATGGCAATAGTTTTGAGATTCGTTGACAACCTGATGAATACCCGGGAGGAATTTCTTGGTTTTATTCCCTGTCAAAAAGGTTTGTCTGGAGAAGCTCTATCTGAAGAAATCTCGAACTTCATTAAGGACATTGGTCAATGTATGGAGGACTGTTGTGGGCAAGGATATGATGGTGCTGGAAACATGGCTGGTAAACTCTCTGGGGTTGCCGCTCGAACACAGAGAATTTATGACAAAGCTATGTTCACTGTAATTCACATGTACTCAATCTTTTTATTGCATCATCCTGCAAAATTAAAGTTGTTCGGGATATGATGGATAACGTGCGTAACGTCTCTAATTTTTTCAATGACTCGCCGAAGACAACCCTGGTGTTAAAGAAGAAACTTAATGAAATTATTCCAACAGAGTGCCGACAGAAGCTATTGAATGTATGTTGCAAGAATTGATGGCTTAAAAATCTTCAAGAACTGTTACGTGGCTCTTTTATCAGCACTTGGGGCAATTGAAAGTGATACAACCAACAAACCAGATGTACGCTATAGGGCTGGTGGTATGAAGAAAGTCATAAAGAAGTTTGAGTTCATCGTGTGCCTTATTCTTGTAGAGTGTTGCCTTAAATGCACAAAACCGTTAACCCTCCAACTTCAGTGCGCTTCACTTGATGCCGGGAAAGCTCGCGAAATTTCCACTCTTTACTTCACGATTAACAAGCTTCGTTCAGATATTGATGAAACTCATGAGGCGTTCTATCAAATGGCTATCGATTTGGCAAAAGAAGTGAAAATAGAACCTACGAAAAAGAGAATGACTGGTTCCCAAGTACATCGTGAAAATGTTCCTGCTGATTCCACTTCAGATTATTACAAAAGAGCAGTTACAATACCATTTTTGGATCAACTTCTTGGACAAATGCAGTCACGTTTCTCAGTCTCTCTTTTCTTGATGCTTTAGATGTCATGTATGGAATGCCAAATAAGGTTGTATCCGATCCCGACTGGAAAGAAAATTTCTCTCGTTTCCTCAATAAATATAAAGATGATCTACCTGACTTGGACTTTTTAGAATGTGAATTATGGATGTGGAGACTGAAGTTTTGTAATCTTACAGATCATCTTCCAACTTCCCTTGAGGAACTATTTCCTTATGCTGACCGACTTTCCTTTCCCAACATCCTAACAGCGATGAGAATATTTGGAACCATTCCCGTAACATCATGCAGCTGTGAAAGATCCATTTCAACGCTTCGGCGATTAAAAACATTTATGAGAAGTACAATGGGAGAAAAGAGATTAAAAGCACTGGTGCTGTTAAACATTCATCACAAAATCAAACTCGATGTGGAGAAAGTAATTGACCGTTTTGCCTTAAAACATCCCAGACGAATGTTGTTGGTGGATCTCCTAAATCGTGACGACTCAACTCTCGAAGAAAGTAAAGATGACTTGCCGTGAACATTTCCTACTAATTTCTCCTTGAACATTTCATTTCCGGTTTGCTGCTGTTTTATTTACAGTGAACATTTTCCTTCCTTATTGCTGCTGTTTCAAGATGATTTACAGTGAACATTTACTTAACTTCCTTTTTGCTGCTGTTTCAAGATTATTTACAGTGAACATTTTTCTTCCTTCGTGCTGCTGTTTCAAGATTATTTACAGTGAACATTTTCCTTCCTTCGTGCCGCCGCTGTTTCAAGATTATTTACACTGAACATTTTCCTTCCTTCGTGCTGCTGTTTCAAGATTATTTACAGTGAACATTTTCCTTCCCTTTGTGCTGCTGTTTCAAGATTATTTACAGTGAACAAATATTTTCCTTCCTTCATGCTGCTGTTTCAAGATTATTTACAGTGAACATTTTCCTTCATTTTTTGCTGCTGTTTCAAGATTATTTAATAATTACTGAGGCCAACGGCATTATTCGATATATTGCAGCCAGCTGAGGCCGAAGCTGGCTGCAATATATCGAATAATGCCGTTTGGCTGAAGTAATTATCTATTATAATTACTGACCCGAATCAAAAGTAATTCTTTTCGGCTGGAAGACTACGTTGCTGCTTGTTGGGACTGTATGACAATGAATCTATCCAACGTTACACTAGACATTTGTGAGGACATGCATGTAATGCAATCGTGATAGAACAGATTTCAGTTTAATTAATCGCCCTAAATTAAAATCTCCACAAGCGGAGGTCAATTATAGTGTTCTAGTTTACATATTATCATTAATGATAAGGTTAATTCAAAGAGCGTATTAAACTGGATAAACACGGGAATAGAACTTATGGTGTGTTCTGCACATGCGTATATCTAGAATAAAATCCCACAAGCGCAAACGAAACTATTTCTCTATAAAGTTGAGCTGAAAGGTCTCACAGTGACCGTTTTGGCAGTGCTTCTGGCGCCCGATGATATTGTATGAGGGGCCTTTAGCACTGTCAACTTCTCATCTTGAGATGTTCACGTTATCGCGTGTATTGCGAATAATGTCTGTATGCACTGATACACGCTGCATTATTTTTAATAATGCTGTGTGCACGCTGCATTTACCCCTGGGAATTTCCCTAATTGCACGCTGCACATTTACCCCTGGGAATTTCCCTACAATCAAAAAAGACCGCTCCCGTTTTTCAGAAGAGCGCTAAAACTTCTCGACATTCGCTGATATAATGCAGAGAGAAAACAATAGGTTATTATGACCGTCAGTAATTATTTTTAGTTAACTACCCACATAGAAAAAAATAACATATTAACACAGCATCAGTATGGTTTTAGGGAAAATAGATCCACTGAGCTTGCAATCATAGAACTTGTTGACAGAATTACTAAAGCAATCGATAAAGGAGAATACAACCTTTTCATAAATGGCTGCCGATTAAAAATTCTTTTATGTGCATATAAATTGGCCCAACTAGCCTCGTACTCATGTTAGGATTTCAAAGGAATTTCTGTCCAGAAACGAGGCTAGTTGGGTCAATATATATGCACATAAAATAATTTTTAATCGGCAGCCATTTATGAAAAGGTGTATACACGATAGGTATTTTCCTCGACTTGTCAAAAGCCTTTGAGACAATTGATCACAAGATCTTGATTCACAAACTTGATCACTATGGTATACCGGAAATAGCTCAATTATGGTTTCAAGATTACTTAAAGAATAGAAAACAAATTGTTAAATACAATCAAATTAAATCAAAAGAAATGGTAATTAAGAGTGGTGTCCCACAGGGGACAATTCTTGGACCAATTCTATTTCTTTCTGCTTTATATAAATGATATTGAAAATTGCAGCAAATTAATTTCATTTATATTATTTGCAGATGACACTAATATATTTTATAGTAACAAGTGTCAAAAGAAACTTAGTAACATTATACAAACAGAAATTGATAAAGTTCCTGAATGGTTAAATGTGAATAAATTATCTTTAAATACTACAAAAACAAAAGTTATTTTATTCAGATCTCCATATAAAAAAACAAGTCAAAATATTGAACAAGTTAAAAGTACAACCTTCCTTGGTATTATCATTGACGAATGTATGACCTGGAAAGATCATATAGCTATGATAGCAAAGAAAATAATTAGAGCTGCTGGTATAATACCTAAAATACGACATTTCGTAAATCGAAATACTCTAAAACTTATATATTATGCATTAGTCTATCCATATTTGATACATGGCAACTTAATTAACATGGGGTAATACTTATAAAAATCGAATCCAAAAAATGAATATACAAAAAAATTGTACGTCTATTGACTTTCAAGTCTTATTTGGAGCACAGGGAGCCAATTTTCAAAGATTTAAGTACCGTTTTACTCGATTTAAGCGCAGCCCCGATTGAGCGCCGCCTCCGAATAAACGCCGCATTTCAGATCAAACTTTTTTAAAGAGCGCCGCCCCCGAATGAGCGCCGCATTTGAGATCAAATATTTTTAAAGAGCGTTGCCCCCGAATGAGCGCCGCACTGAAAAGTATAAAAACTTTCCGCCGTCAAAATGGGGACATTTGGTGACAAAAATATTTTAAAACCTGTTTGTTTTATTGTTAAAAGTTCTTGTTATAACCCACAAATAAAAGCTTTTTTAAAGAGCGCCGCCCCCGATTGAGCGCCGCCCCCGATTGAGCGCCGCCCCCGAATGATCGCCGCATCTGAAGCTTTATTTAAAAATGAAGAAAATTTAAAAATGAGTAAATACGGTATCCTAGACATTTTCAAAATCAATGACTATTTGACTGCCTTACTTATGTTTCGATACCACCACCTTAATAATTTACCAGATTTCTTTAAAAATTATTTTGTAACAAACAACCAAATTCATGAACATAACACGAGAAATGCATCAAAACTTCACAAATGTTATAAAAGAACAAATTGTGTAAAGCACACTCTCTCAAATAAAGGAGTTGATGTGTGGAATTCGTTAGGAAAAAAACTTAATGAAGTAAACTCCTATATCAACTTCAAAAAGCAAATTAAACAACATTTTTTTGCTATACCCAATTACCAATATATAAAACATACTTCTCTAATGTATATAATGACATATACTTTAGTGTATTGTTGCCCAATCACTGACATTGTAAAAATAAATGCATCTACAACATTACTATTAATTTATATAATACGAACATTCCCACTTCTTTTCCTCTCTTGTAAATATAGTATATATACTTCAAAACTTTCTGATTTTACATATTATTTATTGATTGACTGTAAATAATCGATTATGTGATAAAACGAAGAAGATTTCTAGTAGGTCTCTAGCCCAACATCTTCAAATTATTGTAATATATTTTAAGTAGATTTTTATACATGGGGAAAAAATTTTAAAAAAAACAACTATATGCAGGTCTAAACGATGTGTCTTTAACTGACACAAGGCAAAGATTGTCTAGGCTAAATTGAAACCATGAGCAAAAGAGCAAATTTTGAGCAAAGTTTTGAAGTTAAACAATCTTACACATTTACCTCCCTTTCCAATTAATAGGTATGTTATTTTTGGCAAATCTAAATTGAGAAATTGCTAGTTAAATGTAATTGGGAAAACGGCATTGTGACTGTAGCTATACACCGTTCTGCCAATCAACCACTGTGGGTGATTGGCAGCAGGGACGTCGTGAAGAGGCTAAAAAGCAGGGGTGTAGTATCGCATTTGCTAACACCATTTCAGTCGCTAATTAACATTTCTATTTACTCATCAAGGGGAGAGCACTGGTGCTCAAAGGGTTAAGTTTCCTCTTTTTTTGCCTCGGTGACTCAGTGTACATATAGGAGATATAGGGTCAAATTCTTCTGACAATTACTGAGTGAAAGTCACTCCTTACACTGTAACATTGCTGAACAAAATTGATCCTTGCATGGTTTTCTTATTATATAAATAAAATTAGCTTGTCATATTCCCGAGTCTAAAGGACTGCACATTTTCCTTAGGTCAAATTTGCTTCTATGTTTTCCGTGTTTGGCTGCATATTTGGTACTTTGTTTTCCTTGTGACTAGGAAGCGGCAACACTAGGTTCTTACCAGAGCTTCCAACTCTCCAAATTTCCTCAGGAGACCCCCAACTTCTAGACTTAATTTTAAATTTATTCCTCCATATTGTATGAATTTATCATTAATGAAACAAATGAAAAGAAGACAAATCAGTTTTTCATCTGATTGCCAAAAAATTCCATGATGAAAAAACGTATCATTATTTATAACTAGAAATACATGCATGCAGCAACCCCTCCCATGTATTTTCCAAACATTGATTTAACATGAAGTATTAGTAATTGATTAACACTGAAACTGTGACTGAACGCATGGCAACACGATAAATTTAATTTTTATTATGTTCTTTGTACAACACGCCAAAAATAGTTGAAAGATAATTGCTTTTAACTATATAACAATGAATTTCCGAAATATGTACTGTAATTATATATATGTGTGTGTGTGTTTCGTTCGGTTTAAAATTTGAATTTGCCGCGACAAATCTGACAATTAGAACCTATATCTATGATTAGAACACTGCATTTATACTTCAATAAATGCTACTATAAGAGTTTTATATTTAAATTAGACTTATCGATGTTTATTGGTTAATATATTTGTATATGCCAACTGAATATGCCAGATTAATTGGCAGCCATTAAGCATGCCTATATATGCATATAGACATAGTACTATATCAGTATATGCTCATAGTTTGAAAATTTATGTGCTTGCTCAAATCAGCAGCAACCTTCCTAAGATTCTGATATTTATTCATATGTTATTGTTCAAATTAAAATTGATATTTCACTATGAGAGGTGTTACACCAGTCAATGTATTAAAATATGTTAGCGTTTATAGTACGTGTAATGCCAGGAAATTCTCCATGTTCTTCTCTGAAGCATATAACTATGTGATGGTATATTGAAGTTAACCAGACTCTCTGACTTACATTTCATGCTAACTCGTC